ACATCTTTTGTCAGTAGCTTGGTTAATTTGTTGTTAAAGTAAAAGGGAGTTTTCAAGATAGCGAGCATAAAAAAGTTGTTTCTAGGTTGAGTGAGCATGTTGGAGCCAAGTTTGAATAGAGGTTGAATCAGTGGAGGTAAGTAATAAAAGGTTACATTGTGACTGTTTGTTAATTTGGAAGATGTTTTATTGATATAGGAGATATTAGAGTGTTGAGTAAGTTTTTTAACAAGTTTAATAATGTAACCAAGTTTTTTAAGAGATAGATGTAATAGGGTATTGTGATGAGAGTATTGATGGTTGTAGCTGTGTTTGTGAGAAACTTTGTTAAGAATAGTGTAAGTAGCAAAGTAGATAATAGAGCATTGAATTTTGTGCCAAGTGGTTTCAATGTTTTCATCAGTTTCACTATTGATAGAAGTTTTGTGTAATAAAAGTTGTTGAAATAAGGTGTCTGCAAAGGATTCTCAGTCCTCTGTAGGCATAGCCTTGTAATTAAAGATATAGTGACTGATACCAGTATATTTACATAAGGGTTTGCTATAGGCATGTGGGAATGTTCATATGGAAAAAAAAATTAGGTGATCACTAGAGGTTGAGGTTTGGCTGTTATCAAGACTATAAGAGAGAAGGAATTGTATGTTAAATTGGTCAGTCCAAATGTAGTCAATATGACTACTACTAGTATTGTTAGACCAAATGAAGTGTTTGTTATTAAAATGAGCCCCAATATTATACATATTGGTATTATTAAAAAAGTTAATAAGTTTGTATTTAGAAGAGGAACTGTGGATATTATCTTGTGTATTAAAGTTTCCAAAAATAATAGGGTGGATATTAAGTTGAGATGCTTGTTGAATACAGTTGATAACAGTGTTTTGAGTTTGATTATGAGTAGAAATGTCAGTTGATAACAGATATACTAAGATGATATGAAGCTTGATATTATTTCGAAAAAAAATATCAGTGCTATAGCACCTCCAGGATGGGTATAAATACTGTGAATATGAGGTTTAAGATGATTGTGAATCATAATAGCAGTGTCTTTAATGAAAATAGGAGAGTTAGACCAATAGTAAGTGAAGAAGTTATTATTGCAAAAGAAGAGGTTAGTTTTATCAGATATTTTAGTTTCTGTAATGCTTGCAATAGATATATCATAGTTAAAACAATAGTCTTGCCAGGCTTCTCTTTGGTAGGTTCATTGAAATCTCTAACATTATGTATATTTTCAGATATAAATAGTCAGGAAGATGAACTGACTCTACTAGAAACGGATAATAATTAGTGTCTTCTATTATTAGTTGTAAGCCTCATGTAAAATCTTATTTTACTTTGCTAAAATATAATAAAATAATTTAATTCAGGTCTCACCTTGATCTATATCATATAAATAGTTTAGTTAAAAGAATAAATTAGCAGTTTTTTAAAAGTTTATTAATGATACATAAGAACGAAAAAAGAAATCGATGCTTTTATTATCATTATTAAAAATTTGTATTAATTAAAAGATATCAACATAATTATATCATATGATAATGCTGAAGATCTTCATTAGTCTGGTCCAAATGATGATCAGACCACCTGCAGCTGCAGCAGTAGTGTTTATCACGCAACTCACAATTTCGATAGCCACCTTGGTCATGTCTATTTTTATGCATCTCATCAATTTGGAGCAATTTTATATAATGAAATAACTCGTTTTATGATAAATAAAGGTGGATTGAAAAGTTCTGTTTGTTCACGTTGGTCATCAGCATATGATTGTGTACAATCAGTTCTTAATCTAGAAGTTTGTATTAAACAGGTAATTATTTAATACTGTAATATATTTTAATATTAGTTTATATTATAATTATTTAATTTATAATATTTTTAATTATATTGTATATAATTAATTAGATTTTAAAGGATGATAATTTTGTTTTAATATTAGATTTAAGAAAGCTTATATGAAATCGACAATTTTGAGCAAATGCAGAAATTTTAGCCAAAATATTGTTACTAGTTAAAAATGCCATTAAAATGGTCGAATCAAAATCTACAACAACTGCTGATGTTTTTTTATTCCTTATTCAAATAGCAACTGCTATTAATGTACTTGAAAAAAATAGTTTGCCAGAACATATAGAATTTCGTAAATAATGTATTAAATTTTATAACAAGTGATGGAAAGAATTCGATATAAAAATTTACCTTTTAGCATACTTCCTTCATCCAAAATATCAAGAAAAAAGTATGAAAGATTCAGTATTTCATTAAATTATGTATACTGCTCTTGAAATATGGAAAAAAATAGGTAAAAGAAGGGTAACAAGTGTGAATATATTAATAGCACAAATTAAGCAATATGATATATATGAGCAACCATATAATTTTGGTTTTGTAGAAGAAATTGAATTATCACAAACCTGATGGAATGGGTGCAAATTAGATAACCATTATTTGCAAAAACTTGCTTTACACTTACTAGCAATTACACCACATAATGCTAGTTGTAAACATATTTTTTCAGTATTGAGTTGGATTATTCAAAAAAGAAGAAGCAGGTATTTAATATATAATATAATAATTTATTATATATCTAATTATTTATTTATATGTATTTGGATCTGCATTGCTTCATCGATAATTATTTTACCAATAGTTCATTTAGCAAACATTACATAATTAATTATATATTAACATGACTTATATAGGTAGAGTTATTTTTGAACCCAATCCAATTTTATATATATGACATAACATTTCTGGTATAGATTCAAAAATAATCACCCATATATAATGATAGCTAAATAACTTTTGGTAGAATAATTATTGGTAAAGTAAGCCACATCTTTATATTTTTATATATAAACTGTAGAAAAAGTATCAAACATCACAAAATTACATATATATTATATGACCAATGCACAAAATGAACTAAATTATTTTACACATGATATTTCAGAACCAGGGTTTGAACAAGTAATGGAAAATTATTCGAATTTAATTGAATATGAAGATGATATGTTCAATGATAATATTGAAGAATATAATGGAGATTATATTTCTGATGAAGATGATTTAGATGAAATTATACAATTAGATTGTGAAAATTTGGATGCTAATGAAATAATAGATTTTAATATCTTTACACAAAAACCAGCAAATGAAATAAATTATAATAATGATATAGAAGCTGAGGGTGAACTTGATTATGATATTAATGAAGTTATCAACGCAACTATAAATAATGCAAAATAAGTTTTATATTTATATAGCATTGAATTTTAAATATTATTTTTATTGTAAAAAATTTATTTATAATATATTATATAAATACTGATTATTACATTTAAATAAAATTATCTCTTTTGCGTTTTAATGATTTATTTTAAAAAAACTATTCTAGATAAAAAAAAATTCAATACAGTTGTTTGAAAATGTGTGAGAATTCAGAACTTGATAATTAGTAACTCATATCAGTATACGTAACCGATTTTAATTAATATATATAAATTACATGCAAGCAATTTAGAATAATATGGGTTTTGTACCTTGGCAAAAATCTAAAAATATGCATTACTATCTATGGTAGTAAACAGGTATACTTGATTAATTATCATATGATAACAACTGCAAAGGGATTATGTAGAGTTGAAGTAATGAAAAAGAAAAATACATATGTAGTATGAATTAATAATACATAAAAAATGTAGTAGCTGAATATAATCAATAATCTAAATTGCTTTGCAAGAATGATATTTTAAACCATTTTCGTCATCTGAAAATATTTTAGGCTGCCGATATTATTTACGGTTTAGGTGCCTAAAACATTTTCGGCAAATTTTATTTACGGCAAGCCAGAAATAATTTAGGCACACATGTATACGCCGATCCATTGAAGAAAAGTCACCCGCCCGATTTGGAGTACATCTGTCAAGGTAATATTATCTTGACAGGTAAAGTCTGTGGCCGTCTCAATGCGTCGCCATATGTTGGGTTGTGTGTTGTTGTGAAAAGAATCAAAGTTCAATGGAAAATTTAAAGTAACGACGGATGAGTTGTAGAAAAAAGGAAAAGTACTTGCAAATAAGGGTAAAACGGTTGGTGACAATGAGAAAAGTGTGCCCAAGCCGTGTTCAAAGCTCCCTTCTTTTTCTCTTGTAAATTCATTATAAAAATGGTTCGTATTTCCCCTCTTGTATATAATAGAATCGTCTTGTCCCGTATCATCAAAAACCGAATCACCTTTAGACTATAAAGCCGCCCTAAACAAATAAAATAAAAATTAATTAATTAAAGTTCTAATTGTTATAAATTAAAATAAACAAATAAATAACCATACTCTCCTTTGTGACGTTTTCAAAGGCCGCCTTTGACCTGTGCCAAATCGAAACCGCCTCACCTGAATTTGAGTAACGTTATGCGACGTCAACGTTTCCGAAACGACAATTCGCATTCCTTCTTGTCCCAGTATTGCCGTTCCCGACCATATTGCCCGTATCAATAGTTAAAATTTTTGAAGTCAGAATCAGTAAGTTACCACTGTCGGCTGACATCAGAAAATTACTGATTCAGGAATTAGAAAACTTTTATGATGTACCATAATTTATAAAAAACAGTTGCAATGTTCTGATACGATTTTCTGAAAGTATATGGTAAAATTTCCACCTAAAAATCTCGATTATAAGTAAAAGAATAGAGGACTAACAAATAAAAAAATATCATTACACTTTGAATTCATGCAGAATATTGTAAACAATTAAGCATCTACTAGAGAAGTCTGCTTTATTTCTTTACTACATCTTCTGATACACCGCATTGACATTTTATTATCAGCTATATTAGAGTTGGGTAACGAAACCTATTTCAGAAATAGTATAATCAGAAACTAGTGTTTTGGATTTTTTAAAAAATCCGAAACCCCAAAACTATTGTGACGGGTAATATGTCGAATTCAGAGATGGGACAAATGCGACGGATTGTCGCTTGAAAAATGGTTATGCCGCGTAACATTCCTTAAAGATATTAGAGGCGGTTTAACGATTTGGCACAAGGTCAAGGCGATCGTTTAAGGAGCATTACAAGATAAGTACTACGATTTTAAAGAGCATTATTGTATTGGCGGTTCAAAGGGGTCTTTAATAACTTAAATTTTGTAGGGGCAGTACAAGTATATTATTAAGGGCGATTATGAACTATTCTGAACGATAATCTTGTACTTCG